AACTAATATTAAGGAGCTAAGAATAATGATTCAATGATTTCAGACAAGTGTGGTCGAGACAAAGAAAATATGCAGACAGATAAAACAAAACAAAACAAGTATTGGATTAAATATAATGCAAATAACCTCACATATTCAAACGTGTCACAGAGCACTGATGCTAAACAATTGTCTCGGCAACAATTATTTTAAGCCCATAATGAATTATTATGACTCACTAAACTGCCCGACAGGATTACTAGGTATTCTTAGACGGTTACTATGGCAATACCTCTCGGCGTTAACTATAGACGTTGTCTTAACCTACTCTAGCCTTTATCCCTTTTAGTCAATTGAAACTCACTCCTTATCTCAAAGGTAGACAAGTTAGAACGTCACCCTCCCGGATTCATTCCTTTGTTCACGCTGGTCTCTCTTAATTCTCTCGAATTAAATAATCACTTTCTAGACAAAAGGCTATCTCTCGATGCTCTTACAATGCCCAGACATGTTTTACCGAAACCCCAGGTGATCTCTCGATGCTCTTACAGTGTTAAGGCAAAATATTTAAACTATGAGCAAAACAGTCATAAGCAAACATAATTCATCATTCATAAACATAAAATATTGTTCAGACAAAACAAAGTTTAACACCAAGTAAAGCATTCATGGTGTTATCAAAGATCATCCAAGATTAAACCGTTTAATACAACCCCAAATAAAATAAGAGTTTAAGAACAAAAGAAGAACGACTCCCAAAACCGAGGGCTCTATCACAACAATCCTGATCAGCATCATGCCTGCCTTGGTGATCACCCTCTCTCGAGGCCTGATCACCGCTCTGCTATCGTCTGGCTATGGAGGACACCAAGGAAGACTTGGGGGTAGACGGAGGGAAAGCACTGCAGTTTCTTACTCACGCCTAAGGTAAAGCTCTTCTTTCTTCTTCCTTGCCCTTTTTCTTTTTGTGGCTATGGCTGGTAATTATAAGGAGAATCTCCTAGGGCTTTGCATGCTTTTGGAGTTTCCTTAATTAGCCGTTATTAATTTCCCAAACTTAAAAAGGAAAGGTGGCTAACGGTTGTCAGGATATTCAAGGCTTGCTTGCACATGAAGCAGGTCATCCAGCTGACATGTGACATAGGTAGTTTCGCCATATTTACTTCAGACTTCTTCAGATAAATCTTGCCTAGGTGAGATAAATCTACTCCTCACGTTCTCATCTGCTCCATTGGCCTTTGCAACTTTTCATTGTTACGACTGAAATGTTCTTCCTCTGTAGAATTCCTGCACAAACACAACTCAAACAACCCCTTCTCCTCAGCAGAATCAGTTAAGCCAAATAAATCTTGCCTAGGCAAAAATTCTCCACCACAACCTATATATAGCTAAATGCAACTAAAAATGCAGTGCATACTTTGTTTAAACGAGCAATAACTTAAGTGAAAAGACTAAAATTTAAGTCTTTTTACGAAGTTATCAATGACACTAACATTTTCTATCGGATTTGACTTCATTTGAGAATGTAATTTCCCTTGTAATTCTAATATTCCCACAGTTTAAGCTATTTGGCTCATTTGTTTGTACAACTCTTGAAGATTGGCCTTAGTGCAATTTTGGAATTTTTACTAGGACAAGACCAAACGTTCAATAATGGATTCCAGAGAGGAATTTTGTGGTTTAAATGTTTGTGGGGGCATTTACTTATAGGCTTGATTCTGCCTTGGGTTTTATCCATAGCTCAGATTTGGATGGTCTCTTCATCCCGGGTTATAAGTATTAGAGTATGGGTTATAGGGTCTCTAGAGAGGTCCTGAAAAGTTCTCTACAACATTTTCTTCTATGCCAACTTCCTCTTATAGCATTGGACATCAGTATGTCAGATGATCTGGAATTGTGCATATTTCACATACTCTTGCTAATCCAAATTTTCCTGCAACCAAAGAATTAACAACATCAGTTGACTTATCGATTTGGTTTTCTAAGGAAACAATGCTTATCTCATAAACCCGACGATTGGGTTCACTTGAAGTGCCAAACTGCTGAGAGTTGGATGTCATTGTCGAAATTAATTCTCTTGTTGTTGGTGGTGTTTTGTTCAAAAGAGCTCCTTCACTAGCATCATATTGGAAGCAACCCTTCATAGAAATACTGGAGGAGTGTTTGCTCGGATAATCTGTAGTATGGATAGCTTTCATAAAGCTTTTTAAATCACTCTCAGTAATCTTCAAGCGATTCTCCATCTTTTTGTCTTATTTCCATAATGCTACTCCTTAATTAACTTGCTTTTACTGCTGGGAAAAACCTATCAAGAAATGTCCGAGTTAAATCAACCCAAGTATTTATAGAATTAGGAGGGAAATATAATAGTCATTTTTTAGCTAAACTAGATAAAAAAAGTGAAAACCCGTAGATTTATTTGGTCTTCAGATACTCCCTGAGGTTTTATGCTTGAACAGGCCATATGAAACTACGTGAGATGTTTGTGTGGACTCTCACTGGGAAGCTCATGAAATATAGAAAGAAGATGAATAAGGCTCGTTTTTAAAGTAAATGGAGTTGTTACTTGAGGAAAAGTGATGTAGAGAGGTTGTTGTACAGTACGTGACGTAGCTAACTAGCGAATCGTTTGATCTTCCATTGGTTATGGCATGATGTCTGTGCCTAGTGTATCTTCGGTTATCGGTTCTTCATTTGTTTTAAAGGAAGATAATCCTTCCAGACTTAATTCTGGATATGATTGCTCCAGTTGTTCCTGTTGTCGTTTTCTTCTTTTTTCTCGAATCGTTTTTGCATGAATTCGTCTAGCTCGAGCTTTGATTTTTGGAACCAAATCACCTAGATTACTTCTGGTGATTTTTGGAACTAAAATAAACAACTTTATTAGTTACTTTATCTGAAGTCCCCAGAAACGGAGCCAATTTGACATGTTTCATGTTATTATCAAATAATTCATTCTTCTCAAAAATAAATAAATAAAATGAAATAGTAATAAAGAGAAACATGTCCGGTCTACAAGGACTTTAGAGTTTCTGAAGTTGTGGATTTTTCGATTTTAAATCTGGATAAAGATGAAAAAGGATAGGGATTTGGATAGAAGGGAAAATAAGAAGGAGATGAGAGGAAAATAGGGGATTTAAATTGTTTAAAAATAATTGGCGATAAAGATAAAGTAAATAAATAATTAAATAAATTTAAAATAAATCGAGATAATAAAACTTATTGTAAAAACTGCCTCAGGCTTCAGCTTTGCCTCAATTCATCTAATCATCATAATAGATTTTTACTTTGGATATCTATCGGTTACAGTCTACAGCGCCCAACCCCTGTAACTTATTTTTCTCTCTTGTGAACTAAAAATCCAAAAGTTATCTTTGAATTCCAGTCCTTTTGTGAACTAACTATAACTATTGTTGTCAGTACCAAATCAGTTTTAAAAGCTTTGGAAAAATCTGACTCGGACTATGTTGTCTCAATGAGAATCGAGTCCGGTCTCAATTTCCCTTAGTAGACCGCTGCTAAGTGTGTTCACAGGAAGTCGAACTTGATACCATTCGACTCTTCCTCCCAACTTTAAACCAAAACAATATCCAAACCAACGAGCTCTTTTTGATTTAAAAGCATTTTGATTTTAAAAGATAGGTCGATTACCTATCTTATTTCTCTAGAAATTTGAGAAAATAACCGGAAGGTATTTTAAGTGCTTTTCAATCCTCACAATAAGAATTGAGTAATCGCTTTAGCCCTTGGCTTATGGATAAATTAGCTAAGTATGACAATCATACTTAACATCATTAAAAATAAAAATAAAAATAAAACAAAGAAAACATTTTTAAAACCCAGAGGAAGAAGAAGAATGAATTCTGAATGTGTTTTTTGGCTTACCCTGAGAGGGTATTTATAGCATTTAAAAATCCTAAAACAAAGAAAAGATAATTCCTAAAAATAAGAGATAATTCCTAAAGATAATTCTTAAAATATTTAAACTAGAATCCTAAAAACATGAAATTAACTTGAATCCGAATTTCAAAAAACACGGAAGACCCATATGTCCTTCTAGAAGCGTTGACTAGACCTTCTGGAAGGTGTTGACTTAACGCCACGTCAGATGTGTCATGCCGCTAATCCATCCTTGATTCTGAAAAAAAAAACTGTAGAATTATGTCCTTTTAGTGTAATTTCCAGAATTTAATGAGATGTAAAGAAAATGAATCAAAACGAACAAATCAATCACAAAAACCAACAACTAAGGAGCAATTTAAAAGCAAAATAATAACTAAATAAACCACCTATCACAAAACCATCACCTATCCACTACCCACAACATATATAAATTTTTACATGTACACCCACCCACTACCCATTAAATTTATACCCATTTTCACCCTAATTAGAACATATGAGATGTGAAATCTATGAAATTGTACAGTCTATTATCCCTAACTTCAAAAGCTCTTATGGAACTCCGGAAATCTCGATAGATGAAGAATTAGGTATAACAAAAATAAAACATCAAATATAAAAATTATAAAAACCAAACGGTTAGTGATTTAGAATTCATGTATAGTAATCCATATCCAATGTATACGCACATATGATATTAACATTGGATTTTTAATCCAGATAACTTCCAACAACATCGAAATTAAATGCAAGAACATATTAATTTTGTCTTGTCTTGTTCGAGTGAAATGTTAGGGCATAACATGGAAAGATTCCATGAGACTCAATCATAACGAATAACAAACCCACTCAACTCACAGTGTTTAATTTATTAGGACATGATGGGGTATGATCTGTATTGTATATAACCCTAACATGGAAAGGTTCCTTCCTCTGTCAGTACTTGCTGGTTCAGAACTCAAGATCTCACGTCCTCTTCACTAATTAATCCCCCATTTCCCTTTTTATTTATTTATATTCCTTTTCACCTTCTTCATCAAAACAAATGATAAGCTTGTTCCATTTGAAACCAGCCAAGTTTGTTCAGCTTATGACAATGGTGTTGTGAGAGATTAATGATGGCAGTTAAGAAGAACACTTTGTACTTCAGAATCCATTTCTTCATCTTGTTCTTCTGCCATGCCATTAAGGCTGAAAAGACCAACTTGAATGAGGAAGCATTGGCTTTGATATCGATCAAAGCTGGTTTCATTGATCATTTGAATAGACTTCACGATTGGAGATTGCCAGAAAATGAGGGTCTAAATGATTCAGCTCAATGCAGCTGGACTGGTGTGTGGTGCAACTCCGATGGGTTAGTTGAAAAGCTTCATCTTTCTCGTATGAATCTCAGTGGCCGAGTTTCGGATGATATCGGAAACCTGAGAAGCCTCAGATCTCTTGAATTGTGCTGCAATGAACTGTCTTCGCTTCTACCGAAATCCATATCGAATCTCACATCACTCGACAGCATTGATGTGAGCCAAAATCTGTTCACCGGAAGCTTTCCTCTTTGGTTTCGGAAGGGCTTCGGGGCTGACTTTGTTGAATGCTTCAAGCAACAATTTCTCTGGCATTCTCTCAGAGGATCTCGGCAATGCAACTTCATTGGAGATTCTAGACCTGAGAGGGAGCTTCTTCCAGGGTTCAATTCCCAAGTCTTTCAAGAACTTGCAGAAGCTGAAATTCCTTGGCCTTTCCGGGAATAATCTCACCTGCCAGATACCGGGAGAGCTCGGGGAGCTTTCATCGGTGGAGACTATAATTCTGGGGTATAATGAGTTTGAAGGTGGAATACCAGTTGAGTTTGGTAACCTCACTAATCTTAAGTACCTTGATTTGGCAGTTGGCAATCTTAGTGGTGTGATTCCTGCTGAACTAGGGAGGCTTAAAGTATTAGAGACGGTTTTCTTATATAAGAACAATTTGGAAGGCAATATTCCATCATCGATCGGAGAAATCGGTTCGTTGCAGCTGCTGGATTTGTCTGATAATATTTTATCCGGTGAAATTCCTGCTGAGATTGTTGAGCTCAAGAACTTGCAGCTCTTGAACTTGATGTGCAATCGGTTATCAGGCTCGGTTCCTGCTGGACTTGTAGCGTTGACAAAATTGCAGGTGCTTGAGTTGTGGAACAATTCATTTTCAGGACCATTGCCGGTTGATCTTGGCAAGAATTCACCATTGCAGTGGTTGGACATATCGTCGAATTCGTTCTCGGGTGAAATCCCGGAAATGTTGTGCAATGGAGGCAATCTCACCAAGCTCATTGTGTTCAACAATTCATTCTCAGGTTCAGTTCCAGTCAGCTTATCAAATTGTCCATCACTTGTTCGAGTCCGAATGCAGAATAATCGTCTATCCGGGATGATTCCTGTTGGATTTGGCAAACTTGGGAGCCTTTAGAGGTTAGAATTGGCAGATAACAGTCTCACTGGTGAAATACCTGATGATATTGCTTCTTCTAAATCACTTTCTCTTATTGATGTTTCGAGTAATCGCCTTCGATCTTCACTTCCTTCTACCATATTTTTGATCCCTAGTCTGCAATCGTTTATTGCCTCGGACAATAACTTGGTTGGTGAGATCCCAGATCAGTTTCAGGATTGCCCCCCACTAGCTGTGCTTGATCTCTCATCAAATCATTTTACAGGAAGTATCCCGGCTAGTATTGCTTCATGTGAGAAATTAGTTACTTTGAACCTGAGGAATAACCAATTGGCCGGAGAAATTCCGAAATCGATTGCTATGATGCTGACATTGGCTGTTCTTGATTTGTCTAACAACTCTCTCAGAGGTGGGATACCTGATGATTTCGGGACTTCTCCGGCTCTAGAAATGCTCAATGTCTCATATAACAAACTAGAAGGTCCGGTTCCTGCAAATGGAGTGCTGAGAACAATCAATCCCGATGACCTCGTCGGCAATCCTGGCCTTTGTGGCGGTGTTCTCCCCCCATGTAACCGATATTCACCGACTTCATTGAGGCAGAGACGCTTGCGAGCAAAGCATATAGTTACAGGGTGGTTGATTGGGATCTCATCAGTTTTAGCCACCGGAATCTTACTTATCGGAGGCCAATTGCTATATAAAAAGTGGTATTCTAGTGGCGGCTGCTTCGAACGAAAAGCAGGCAATGGAGAATGGCCATGGCGATTAATGGCTTTTCAAAGACTTGGTTTCACAGCTGCAGACATCCTAGCCTGTATCAAAGAATCGAATGTGGTGGGAATGGGAGCCACTGGTGTTGTATACAAAGCTGAGATGCCAGAGTCAAATACAGTAGTGGCAGTTAAAAAGTTATGGAGATCAGGAACCGATCTCGAAACAGGGAACAGCGGGGATTTCATCGGAGAAGTGAATGTCTTGGGGAAGCTAAGGCATCGAAATATAGTTCAGTTATTAGGATTTCTTCACAACGACACTAGCATGATGATAGTATACGAGTTTATGCAAAATGGTAGCTTAGGGGAAGCCTTGCATGGCAAGCAAGCCGGTAGGTTGCTGGTAGATTGGGTATCACGGTATAAAATAGCCCTCGGAGTTGCACAAGGGCTCGCTTATCTCCACCATGATTGTCATCCATCGGTTATCCATCGAGACATCAAGTCGAACAACATACTGCTTGATGCAAACCTCGAGGCAAGAATTGCCGATTTCGGTTTGGCAAAGAAGATGGTGAGAAAGAATGAAACAGTCTCAGTAGTGGCAGGGTCTTATGGGTACATAGCTCCTGGTAATTCACCAACTTTTCTGTTTACATAGTCGTCAGTGATTTCATATATTTTAGCTGATCTTAATTCTCTCAATGACTGTTGCAGAGTATGGTTACACCTTGAAAGTCGATGAGAAGATCGACATTTACAGCTTCGGGGTGGTTTTACTCGAACTTCTAACCGGAAAGCGGCCGTTAGATCCCGAGTTCGGAGATTCCATAGACCTAGTGGAATGGATTAGGAGGAAAGTTAGAGATAACAGAGGCATAGATGGGGCATTAGATCCCAATTTTGGAAACTGTAAGCATATTGCAGAAGAGACTCTGTTAGTAGTTAGAATAGCACTATTTTGCACAGCCAAGCTCCCTAAAGACAGACCATCGATGAGGGATGTGATTACAATGCTTGGTGAGGCAAAACCCAGAAGGAAAAGCAACAGCAACAATGGTGGAAACACATCTAACAATGAGAAGACAGCACATCACCTGTAAATGGCCATGTTTAGGGCCAACTAAACTATATTCTTGTTTGTATGTAGTAGCATTGTATTTTTGTTGATGCTTGTAGTCACCGGTTCATATTGAAACCCTTTGCACCTGAAATTGTTGACTCTCCTTGTCAAAACTCATATGTATACAATTGTGATGGTAAAGATCCAATATGTCAATTCTTGGAAACTCCATCTTCTGCTATTACAAATTCTTCACAAGCCTGCATAACAGCAAAAACGGACGCAGGACGAACTTATGAAATTTCAAGGAGTGAAAATAGATTTTTAATAGAAAATACATAAAAAAAAAACCTAAAATATATGGAAATTTTAATTTTTTAGGGGTGACTGTCCCACCCATCCTCCTTTGGTCCATCCTTACGTAACAGTTGTGAATTCTTTCCAATAACTTGAAAGAAAAAAATTACAGTAAAATGGCTCTGACATTTACAGCAACAACAAAGATAGAGCAGTTGAATATGAACCGAAAACAATATTTTAGATGTGTTTGTTTCATAGTACTAAATTATAGTTGTGGTTGTCATCACAGTTGGGGCTATGGTGTCACGGTTGTGGTTATTGTGGACGTTACGACATGATTTATTTTTAAAAAAATAACTATAATTTTATGTAACGGATGTGGTTTGCGAGGTCATGATAACCTTAAAAAAGTTACGATGCAACTGTTACACTATATTAAGACTGCAATTTAATACTATAATTTGTTTCTTTGTCTCTCGTTTGCCTCTTGCAGTCGTGGAGCTGTAAGTTACGAATTAAAGCAACCTTAGATATGAACTGAAAGCTAGAAAACATGGTCATAAGAGAATACATCTTCCAAAACTAGAATAATTACGGTTACGGCTGAACATATCACTGAAGATGATAAGTCGTACTAAAGTTAAGCTTAGAATTTAAATTCTCTTGCAAACCTTTTTAAAATCTCGAAGTAAAACACAATTTTTTTAAAAAAAAACTGAAACCGAAATATCATTCAAAAGATGCGAAATATGATAATTAGATTCAAAAGAAAGTATATATTTAACACTTTCGACGTTGCCTTTTTAGATGTTTGGTCCATCACGACCTTTAAAAAATGTTATATAACATGCATCACATATGCATTTAAAAAAAATGATTTTTTTTTAAATTGAAAATATTATTATTTTTTCAGAACAACCCAACTTCTTTTTAAATCTAAAAAAAATCCCAGTCCTTAAATCTCCTTATCGTCCTCGGCTCTCTATTACCATCACCTACGGTGCCCATGGGCAGAACTTCCCGTCAATTTTTTTAAGTATTAATTAAAATTGAAATATATATATATATATATATATGAAAAATAAATAAAGAAAAATTTATCCGACCCCGTTCAATTAAAAAATGTATTCATGAAAAATAAAAAATACTTTGACCCCATCTTAATAAATCCCTAGTTCCGCCCTTGACGGTACCAGCCATCGCGGTCTTCATCACCGGTCACTGAACAACCCTTCTAAATCAAACGTCAATGCCATATACACTCAAATACTTCCACAAACCCACAAATACACTCCTACATAATCGTCGTGAATTGAAGCCTTAAACCATCTGCAAACCAATGCTTTGGGCACATAATCGTCGATGCCATACAAACCAGACCAATGCAATTGTTCAAACAATTGTTGAACGCAGACCAACGCTCCAATCATTGCTGCTCTGCAATTGTTGTTTGTGCTAGTAAGGATGAGAGAATCTAGTGATTAAGTTTACGAATTTATGTTGAGTTTTGGGAATTTAGAAGTTTGAGGCTACGGCAAGAGCAATGGTCGATTAGTGGATGAACAACGATGGATAAATGGTGGCTCAACAATGGAGGTAGGGGCCAGAGATGGCATACGAAGGCAAGAAAAGGGATTGGAATTTGGGATGTTAAAGAAATATTTTTTTTTTTTTGAGATTTTAGGAAAAAAAATTATGTTTTCAAAAAATAAGGCATAATATAAAAATAAAAAAGTACCCGAACTATACATATTTTCCCATTTAGGTGCATAAACTTTTTTTGGTCATTTTAGGTGCCCGACGTTTCCAATGTTATCATTTAAGCGCTTGGACCGTGACAGACGTTAAAAAAATCATCTCTTAACGAATTCTATTTCAGTTCTAGCTGCCTCAAAATGTCAAAATCAATTGTCCTATACCATATTTTTATGCTACAAATGATTGCAAAGTTTTCTCAAATTTTATTCTTCTCAGGCACACATAAGATTTCATCTCACTAGTACTAACAAGATAAGGGTTGAAATTCCAATGAAAAGATATATCACCTCCTTGAGTGTGGATTCTCATTTCTTGTCTTCATTCTCAGATGGTCGAGGCTTGCATTCAGTGCATGCAATGCAAGCTGGAGGAGGGGAGTTTTCAAGGAGACTAATTCGTAACGTTTGCCGCTTCTCTTCATTCCCAGGAACATATAGCAGGGCTTCCATGATTAGGATCTCCCAATCTCGAGGTAGAAAATAGGAAAACCAATCATTATCTGTAAAAGAATCCCATTTCAAAATCATATCAGGTTGAAACCAACTTATGAATTGTTTGGAATAAGCCAGTTTCTCACTGAAATCGGCTATAAAAACCCAGAAAAATGCTAATACAGCATTTTCAGATTGATGCTATAAGCAAAAAGGGCTTAGCTCCAGCAATGTAGAGGAAATTAGAGTAGATTTGCAAAACTAGATAATGATACATCAAAGGTGAGTGATCTCGGATTATGCTTGTATGGGAATGTAATTAATTTGAGAGAGAGAACAAAAGAAAAAACAGATGATGTAAACAAATGCACAAAGTGGAAGAACCTAACCTTTGTTTCGAACTGCCTTCAATTGTAATACTCCATCGCCTTGTGGTCCAGACACGGGGAATGTGCAAGATACAGACTGCCTCTTGTGAGCTACAGCAAGAGAAGCATTATACCATGGTCCCTTCTTAATTGGTTCTCCGATAGCATTTATGATTGTTTGATTCTTACTGGCTTTCTCCATTGCCTTTCTAAAAAATTGTTGGGTCCATTACAAGAATAAGTTGCTTATCATCGCAAATGGAGAACAAAGAATGGGATGAAAACCCAACATTAGACATCAACATACTGAAACATCAATAGCCAGACATGATCGCTCGGAGGATGCTAAGAAAGACAAAGAAGTGGAATACTTGGGAATATGACTTTCTATTAATACAACAAAAGAGAAAAAAAAGTAGCTATTTCCATTGGAAAACAGAAATTATAAGACAATAAATTATGCCGATTAGCTCGATTTCCCTCAAACAATATTTTTATGTCCATTGTGTGCACAAGGAGATTGTAAAACAATACAAGTAACAAAGCTAAAAAAATTCTAATATTTCAAAGATGCAATGTTCTGCAAAACAAAGTATTATAATTACAAGAAGGTATTTCTATCTAAGGCATATAGATTAACACCTCAATTCAAGACAGATGGAACATACAAGCATCGATCGTATTTGAAAAATAGAACTCAACAGCAGAACCGGATGAATGGATCGTACCTGCTACAGCCATGGTAGATGGCGAGGTCATCAAGAGCACTCAAGGCGACACCGCCTGTTACAGTAATCAAGACAAAGGAAACTGCTTTTCGAGCAAACGACTTGTTCTTTTCATCATTCACAGGATTCCCATTGCTGAATAATTCAATCAAATAAGTAAAAAATGATGAAGTTTAGCTTATCTCTTGGAGGAGCCTAAAAACACGTCACAACAACAATTACACCTACTTGAAGAAAAAAATTCTACTTGTAAGTTAAACAAACTGAACATTGAATTTCTAATATTCTGTCTGGGATTTGACACGGAGCCTATAAAGCAACTTGAGTAGAATTTTATGAACAAATCCAAAGTATAAATAAATTTAGGTCCTTTTTGTTGGGTATCAACCCAGTTTCAGTATATAAAGAAAACCGATGGGTGCTTGACATAAATGGATTCAAATATTCAATACCAGAAAACAAAATGCTAAAATCTCGGAACTGGGAAATCTTAAAAAGAGAAGTGAGAGGAAAAGTTGCACCTGGAAAGCTTCGAAGATGGAGAATTCCTGAAGAACAAAATCAACCTTTTCGCTAACATATCCCTCTCTGTGATATCCTCCCCAATGGCTGTTGGCAAACCCTCCTTCCTACTTCAAAGCTCTTTTCTTTTTTCCCCCTTTTTGCGTTAACGGTGTATGATTGATGTACATAGAACTAAGAGGAAATATGGGTAAATTACATAAATGGTCCCCCACTATATGATGTTATTCTTTTAAATCCTCCAACTATTAAAAGTTATAAAATAGTCTCCTGACTATATGACGATGTTTTATTGAGTCATTCGACTATTAAAAGTTACAAAATGGTTATCCAACTATTCATATGTTCTAAAATCTTCCTTTTATGTTAAAATGTTGATGATTGTTTAAGTTAGACGTTAATATGTTAATTGAATTTGATAAAATATGACCTTATAACAGTTTAAGCTATTTTTTGTTGATTTTACGTTTACATTATGTTGTCAAATCAGTGCTAGCAATTATGTCATTGAGTCAGTTCTTGAAAGCAATGATGGTACCACTAGACATGATTAAAATATGATTTTGTCAACAAATTAACGTTCAGCTCAAATAATTGTCAATTTTTTAACAGAAAATGACAAATTTACAACATATAAATAGTCAATTGACTATTTTGTAACTTTTAATAGTCGGGTATTTAAAAAAACAATTTATAATCGAAACACTATTTTTTCACTTTTAATAGTCGAGAGAATTAATAAAATTAACATCATATAATCGAAGTACGATTTGCGTACTTCATCAAGGAAATATTTACTTTGATCGACGGGCTTTATAAAATTCTTGAGGCCCAATGGTGGTTTACTTTTTCAAGTGTTTACAACATCCATTCCAACAGTAGTATAGAAACTATTAAAATAAATAAAGAGCCATTAAAACAAAAAACAAAAAATTGGATCTGTAATGAAAGACAATTAGGGATGATAATTTAATTCGGATTCGATGAATTTTCGTTCGATTCAACTCGATAAAAGTGAACTTTTCTTTTAAAATACAGATTATGGTCGAATAGAATTTAGCATATAAAACTTTTAGGTTGAAGTTAAAATATTTCTGACGTGACCTAATTCAGATATTTTAATTATATTGTATAATTTAATTTATTTACAGAAATATCATTTTTATATATATAAATATTTAGAGCTTCTTCCATTTCATTTATTCTTTGTAAAAGAGTTTCTTCATTTCCTTCTCTCACTCAAATGTTTAATTGCTAAATAATTTAATTTAATTTTCTGTTTTTTAATACAGTAATAACAGAAGCTAGGCTATGGAGTTATTATCCATTTCAATTAGTGAGTCGATCCCACTTGGGGGAGAATGAAAAATGACAGCCCCTAACTCTTTCCCTCTCGCCATCGCAACCAATCTGTCGGCTACAATATTTGCCTCCCGATGAACGTGCTTGATCGATCTCTCTCAGTCCCTTTGCATAAAGCTCCTTTATCAAACATACAATTGCACCACACGCCATAGCTTGGGAGTTATTGTTTAAAATCTCCACCGCCTTAACACAATCTGATTCTAACTCAAGCTTTCTGAATCCAAGGTTTCATGCATGGCTTAAAGAATCATGAATAGCCCACATTTCTGCCATAAGAACCTAGCATATACCAAGGCTACGAGCGAACTCCATAATCCATTTACCTTGGTCGTCTCTCAAAACTCCACCCGCCGCTGCCATCTTCAAAGGTCCTCCTACAGCTCCATCAGAGTTAAATTTAACCCAACTCGTGGCAGGCCTGCACCACCGATCAGTAGCTCGAAAAGTACCTCTTAGTTTCGATCCAAAGACTTCGCTTGATAGTATTTCATTCTTTGAGTCTAACACAATACACCAGAAAATCTTCATGTTCGATGAAATTCTCTTGAAAAAGTATATTACACCTACGTTTCCAGAGTTTCCAGCAAATGATAGCAAACAAAATATTCCACTTACTTCCAGTGATCGAGAACTCACCTTGGCTCTTCACATTTATATGTAACCAGTCAACATAGGGCATGGACAAGAAGAGCTGGATTTTATCCTCACCGATCAGTCTGCGCCAAACACCCAAAGCAAACGGGCATCTTCGTAATACGTGATTCATGTTTTCATCTTTAACTTGGCACAAGGAGCATCTAGCAGAACCAGCAACATGGCAATGGTGTCTCTCCTTGTTTGTCATCAACCGTCCATGAAGGTCCAACCAAAGAAATGTCCTTATTCTTTGCGGAACATTTATCTTCCACACCACCCTTCAAGGATTCGCACTCTCATTTGAGCCACTAGGGGATAATGCATTATATGTGGATTTAACATAAAATTTATGATTCGCCTCCCACCTCCATTCTGGTTTGTCGCTGCCAAGGTCGAGTCTGGGTGAACACATAGCAGCAATATGATTGCAATCCTGCTCAGGGACGCATGTTTTTAACTTATCCCAATCCCATGCACCAGAAGCAGTGGTCATCTCGCACACTGCAGTCGGTTGAGGAAGGTTATTCTGCAACCTGTGGTCAACGAGAGGTCCGAAGTTATCAAGCCAAACATCCTACCAAAAATCAGTTCGATATCCATTTCGGACCCTCCAATAAATACAGTCTAAGCCTTTCCAAAGGCGCGAACATGTTCATCTACCAATGTTTGTAGGGATGTCTTCATTCCATCGATATTTGCTCTTAAGAACATTAACCTCTTTGACTCAGATTTTACCGGATGACTTCTCTGTGTTCTTTATCTTCTTTTTTAGGGGATTTTTTTAATCTAAATTTCTCTTGAATATATATATATTTTTTTTAAAAAAAGATCTAATTTTTATTGTTTCTTTGCTTTTTTGTTTAACATTATTTCCTTTATTTTCATCTGATTTTTTATTAGGTGTCGTAACCATCTTTCGGTTGAGCTCCGGAATTGGGCTTCGACGTGGATTAAATGAATTGGGAGTCGCCATCGATCATTTAATTTACGAAAAGTGGGTTGATAGGATACCTTATTTCTTATCTGATCTACGTCTTACCAGAGACATGTCGGATTCGGGAGTCGGTTACAGTCAAGAAAGGGTTAGCAACCTTGAACTGCCCTTTCGGTACTACGTAATTTCCAGTTGTTATTAAGTAAGAAAATTGAAAGTTTAACTCAAAAGGTAAAATTACGATCCAAAATTACTTACCCTGATTCGATTTGAAAATATCCCTTTTAAAAAAAAGGCGAGAAATACGTTAGAGGAAAAAGACAATAAAAGTAAATAAATAAAACAAAGAAAACACATAAATAACACGAATAAAAAAATGAGATAAAAAATAAGAAAATAAAAGAAGTAAAAATAAAAATAAACAAGAAAAAAATGAAGTAATGAATCTAATAATAGTAAAACAACAATAAAAATAATGAGGAAAAATACAAAGAAAATAGAAAAAAAATAAAATAAATAAAATAAAGAAAATAAAAAAAATAAAAAAAAATGTAAGTTAAAAGTAAAATAGTAATAAAAATTATAATGATAATTATAAAAATATAAATATATACGTTAATAGCAAAATTAAATTGCAATGATACTAGTTATATGAATATATATATATATATAATAACTTATAAACAAGGTATAAAAAATAATAGTAATAATAAGTATTAAAATAAAAAAATAGTAATAAATAAAAAAACAGAAATAAAAGAAATTATAAAGAATATGAAAATCAAAGTAAAAAAAATACATATATATAAATAAATAAAATAAAGTATAAATGAAATAAATAATAATAATAATGGAAATATAAGTAAACATATATGATATTAGTAGGGGATTAAATTAAATTAAAAGATAAATCAGTTGACAAATGTCAAATAACATTGAAGATTAAAACTGGCAAAAAAAAGTTTTCATTTTTTTAATAGATTTTCGCACCCTCGTTCCAAAAATGTAATTTGTTTTTGCGAAATAGCCTCTAGGGAGCGTAGATCTAAAATCAAAGTTTCGAAAAACTCCCTCCGGGTCATCGGCTAAAACATTTGTCTTTGGGATTCTCAAGCAAAGAAAACGCGATTAATAACGCATGCAAGTGAAGAGTAAAGAGAAACAAACGAAAGGTAAAAAGCTTTCACCTTTATTATTTTGAATCGTTTACAATAGCCTCGAAATCACTTTTTCTTTGCTCGTATTTTTCTGGTGTTCCTTTTGTGTAACTCCTGTGTGTTCTGGTGTGGTAATTACAAGGCTTATTTATAGTACTAAAAAATCCTATTTTAGACTAGTATTTGAGTCCTAATCCAACTCTTCTTTGTTGGTTACGTGAAGACTCCTTGGTTGGCAGGACAAAATCTGGTGTCTTCAGCTGCCCCTCTTTGCTCATTATCGTGTAACGAAAATGGAGCAAAGATTACAAGACATAAATTTTGTCCATATCGAATATCCTCTGTCATAGAGTTGAAATCTGATATTGAAACTGATTTGTCAATTACAAAATAACTCCATCATTGTGAGGTTGAGTCAAAATTGGAAAATTCTGAGCACGAAATCCTTCATCGTAAAGTTGAAAACGAGCTCAAAGCTTTTGACAAGTGGCCTCTGAATCATCTTCTGGCTCAAGATACTTTGTCGTGAAGGTGGAACTTGACCTGAAGACTTTGGTGTTGTGATGTTACAAATGGCCCCTTCGTCGTGAAGTTGAGCCTTAGAATTAGATATCCTTCATCGTGAAATTGAAATCCAATGTAAGTTGTGTTGCTGCTTGTGTGCACGGTTCCCTTCGTCGTGAAGTTGAAACCGCGAGTGGTCCCTCCGTCATGAAGTTGAGCCTGGTAATTGGATATCCTTCGTCGTGAAGTTGAAATCCAAGTAAGTTGTATTGCTCCGAGTCCAATATTCTCCGTCGTGAAGTTGAAATTGGCTCTGGAACCAGGAAATTGTTTGTTGACAGTTAGCCGCCCCTTCGCTGTGAAGTTGAGCTTGTGATGTCTCGAGTCTAATATCCTTCGCTGTGAAGTTGAAATTGACTCGTAAATTGGGAAGTTATTTGTTGACAACCAGCCGTCCCTTCGTTGTGAAGTTGAACTTGTGTTGTCTTGAGTGTTGAGCATGGTAATTGGATATCCTTCGTCGTGAAGT